AATTCTCACCCTCTCCTCTCATGATGCTGACTGCCTGTCTTTAAATCTCACCCTCTCCTCTCAGTGATGCTAAATACCTGTCTCTAGTCCTCACTTTACCCTCTCATGTCGGTGATAGTGACTGCCTGTTTCTAATCATCAACTCACCCACTCCTTAGTGAATGTTTGGCTTTAGCTAGAGCATCATTGCTGGCATTTATTTCTGAAAAAGACTATATCTTGAATGACAGCTTCTTGTGTGTGATCTGTATCTCCATTTGTTATACTAAATCTATCATTTCCACACCGTTGCTTGGAGCTCAAGCCAATATCTCTGTAGCTGCTTCTGCTGTGCGTGATCTGTTTTACAAGACATTTGTTCTAGGTTTCCCAGTAAACCAGCAATCTTTTCATTGAATTGATGATCCAGATTGTCCTGCTTCCGTTCTTTCTCATTCACCTCTTATATTTGTTAGCTGAGCCAAAGTATCCTTTCAAGACTTTGTCATTCCAGAGCTTGGATTTGTTCTCAGCTGGTTGTTCAGCCTTTTCTTCTCGCACTTGCAATTTTGCACCGCAGAGAGCAGTTTTCTTAGCTCCATTAATTCAGAAGAAAGTGGTGTTTCTTCAGCCTTCAGCCAGAGAATAGTGAATCTTTGGAACTCATCGCTACAAAGGCCTGTGGAGGCCAAGTCATTAAGAGCATTTAAACCAAAGATAGATAGGTGCTTGATTGGTAAGGTGATCAAGGGTTATGGGAAGAAGGCAAGAAATAGGGTTGAGAAACATATCAGCCATGATCGAGGGACGGAGTGGACTTGCTGGTCCAAGTAGCCTAATTCTGCTTGTATATTATATCGTCTTATGGTCTGATCATTCCATTCTTCTTTCATTTTCAGTTCTACAAGAGTTTATTTTTTTAATAGTCCACTGCAGCTATTGATGTATCTCTCTCTCTGACTGATTACATAAATTGTAACCAGTGTAAGGTCACAACATGCTGGTGGAGCTGTGATTTCTGGTCCAGCAGTGTCTACAATGTAGGACATCGGCAATGTCCAGACAGATTGATTGTACTTGCACTCCAGCCCCATTAATCCTACATATGGTACTCGTGAGCTGTTGTGTGCAGTTTGTAGGTTTCATCATGGCTTCCCAAGTCTGTGGTTGCATGTTCTTCTCTAGAATTCATGAGGATTTTATACTGGCATTTGCCAAAGTCTCAATCTTATCTGGTAACAAATAGTAACTAGTTTCCCAAGCGTGGATAATTTAAAATTTGCACATGCTTCTGAGTGTGTGATGATGTTAATATTTTCCATGAGATTGACAGTGTGAAAAATGTGTTCACCACTTTTTTTCTCGTTGTAGACATCATCAGGTTCTAGTTGATCACTTCATATATATACCTCAGGCGGGATACCAGATGGTCTTTATTGTAGCTGGAAGACACTCTGTCTGTTTAGGTTGGTGCACGCCTCTTTGTAGCTACGTCATTCTTTGTTCTAATGCATTGCCTCTGCCAGTAGCTCTTTCTGCTACCCACCTTAAAAAAGCTGGACATTTTCTTAGTGCATGCAGAAGGCCACGGCTTCCACATGTCTTGTTTTATTTGGGTTTTGTGGTGATCATGTCACCCATGGAGTTTGTACTTGCAACTAGTAAGCTTCATTGACCCGCAGAGATCACTTAGTACTTCCGTTCATCCTTCAGGAGCTCTTAACTCAATGTATCTTTAGATTGTATAGCAAATCTTTCTGGAAAGCTTCCATGGAATGTGAATGTAATCACCAGCTCAACAATTTTGTTTGCTAGCTCTCCATCTGAAAAACTATATAAAGGAATATCTTCTCTGCACCTGCCCGTAAGTGGTTTTGTGACTTATGTTGGCTTCTGACTAAATTACATGAATTCTAGTCGATGAGTCAAAGTTTGACTCTGAACTGGTCTCCTAACATGGTCCTTATCTTGAAGAATTCTTTGGTTGTTAATCACAATGTGCTAAGTCTGTGTGGACCTTTGGTCTTAACTCCTGAACAAATTTGAATTGTTTGCTTTTCTGTGCCAGATACACCCAAAGCTATAAACCAAAGCTCTAAATGCCCTTTAAACATTAAATTGGTAGGAACATAGGAGTAAGCCATTCAGTTCATCAAGTCTTCTGTACCATTTATTGTGATCGTGGCTGATACAATAATACAATACCTTTTACCCAACCCATCCTATAATCCTTTATGCCATTGATAATCAAAACTGCACCAACTTCTGCTTTTAATATACCCAAAGACTGAGCTTCCGTAGCCATCTAGGGTATAGAGTTCCAAAGGTTCAACACAGACTGGATAGAGAAATCTCTCCTAATCTTGGTCCCAAATGGCATCCTTCTTATCATTAAATTGGGCCCTTTGGTTCCAGACACACCCAACCAAGGGGAACATCTTACCTGCATCTACCTTGACTATCTCTTTAAGTGTTTTGTATGCTTCAGTTTGCCAGTTTCTTTTCAGAGGACAGTCCCACCTTCCTTGGAACAGGTCTGGGTAGGAGCTCTGCTCTGTTCCATTTTAAATGAGGGAATTTTGTTAACATCCTGACAATATGCCTTTGAATTGCCCTTGGTTCCTTGCTTGCTGTTAATCCAGGAAACACCTTGATCATTTGCCTTTCTCAAGTGACTTAAACTGCCTTTTTGGTAGGGATTTAGCTGTGTTTTCAACTCTAACACTATAATGGGCAAAGAGATTGAGGGTTGTCTCATGCACTATGGATTGATTCAGGATTGTCGACCATGTGTTGCATCTTAAGTTAACTTGCTGACTATTCACGCACAATGAGTCTTATGAGCACAATATTCTCTACTATCGTTCACCATGCCATGTTAATAATTATTATGATGTGGAGGTGCCAGTGTTGGACTCGGGTGGACAACGTCAGAAATCACATGACACCAGGTTATAATCTAACAGGTTTATTTGAAATCACAAGCTTTCAGATTCGAAAGCCTGTGATTTCAAATAAACATGTTGAATAATAATTATCTAACAATCAATCAGTCATAAGGGATTTATTGACTCTGGGTTAGGTTTTTAAGACAGTAAAATACATTACAAGTTCTGAAGCAGACATTATGGCAAAACAACTGATTTCTGTGTGTGCAACTTGCAGACATAAAGCAAATGAATTGTCAGGCAGAGTCAAACATTGTGTGCCTCCAGCACATCAGTCCTTAAAGGTGAACTCTCAAAGGCAAGGTGTATAAACAACGGACCCCAAATTGAGCTGTCAATTTCATATCCTCTCCACAAAGATAGCTGCAAACTCCAAAACATTACCTGATCTTTGTCAGTTTTAGATTCAGTTATTCTGATGTATTCCTGGTTTACCTTTTATCTTTCACAGTCTATTGCTGTACACTCATCCAAAAACTCTACTGCCCACATCCAGTGCTGTAGCATCTTCTGTTCATCTACCACTCTTGCCCTCATCGACGTATATGGATTCTCAGACACTACTGTCTCCAGTTTAAATCCTCCTTTCTCATGTATCGTAAAAGTCTCCCTCTCTCTGTCAACTCTCCAGATCTACGACTGCATGTTCCTCTGCCAACTACCACACCAAGAACTTTCCATTCCTTCACCTCTGGCCTCTTTTGCATCCTCTTTCCCTTCACCCCCACCGTTGGTGGATTGGCTAGCAGCTGTTTAGGGGTAAATCCACACCTTGGAATATCTCCCATAAACTTCTCCACCTCCTTATAAGACTGCCCTTAAACCCACCTCTTTGATCAAACTTTTGGTCACTTTTCCTCCTGTCTCTTCCTTTTATTCAATGTCCATTATGTAAAGAGCTTCAGGCCATTTCAACATAATAAAGGCACAATATAATTTGTTGTTGTTGCCATGCACGTGGGGTAAATTTACAAATGTGCTCTCTTAACTAGCAAACCTGGTCCACTGCAAGCATGAAACAGAAATTCAGATAGACTTTGCCCACAATTTTCCAGCTATTGTACCCAATAATCAGAAAGTCCTGGGCCATGCACACCTTAATTTCCAAGGTGAACACTTATGTTTTGAGGCTTCTTCCTGCAAATGTGGAAAAATTAGCTCCCTCTTCCAACCTGTGAGTAACATCTTGTGTTTAAGGAAAATCCTTCCATGATTGCAAGTCCTGAAGGACCTATTTTACTGCACTCAGTGAAGTATTATTTACAATTCCTGTGTTTTCTGTTTGGAGAGAGCCTTTAACCCATTTATAAATTACACTTGTTAAGGAGTCAGACTCCTGAAAGAAGCAGGACCTGTTTGAAAATATAATTTGCACATTGGCTGTTTTCAGTAAAAGCAGAAAAGATTGTTAAGTTCAATAGAAAAACCCCCCAGTGACAGCACTCAACTGTACAGATGAAATAGATTTCAATTGAAAATTCTGCATTGGAGTGCCCTCTAGCAGATAATTTATAGTTAGCTACTTCTCTTCAATGTGATTACTGTACTGTGGCAGTGCTTGAAGCTATTGTATAAGTTGAACCATGGGGTAAAATTCTTCACTCCACCATTGTTTTCATTGAAGAAATATTCTAAATATACATCAAGGCCATTAACACTGCATTAGAATTGCAACAAATCAAAAACAGCTCATTGTTGTAAACTTCATTGGCATTCTAGTTTTCAGTTACAGGATGCAAAGCAGAGTTTCTTGAGATAAGACCCTTTTAACCACTTGTATTTGATGCCAAATTCTATTGGTTGTGTTTTGAAAGTTTCAGTTTTATTTATTGTTGATGAAAATTACTGTTGAAACATTTTGCTTAGACTTGTACTCGGTCTTGTCTATTCTCTGCTGGCCAAAATCAAAGAATCAGTGCGGTAAGCTGTAAACACTGGGATTCTTGAGGGTTGTTGAACTGATTTGAGTGAGCACAATGCTGTCAAAATTGTAAGGCTCAGAACTTTGTTTGCTCTGACAAATAGAAGTGAGTTGATTACTGTATGTTATATGGACTACTTCTTATATTTCAGTTATGGCAGAGTCTATGCAGCAGCCGACCCTTACCACCACACTATTGCACCAGCTGCAACATACAGCGTTGGGACCATGGTAAGCATCAAAAATGGCACTTACTATATACTGACATGTTCCACAGAAATAAAGATAAATATGTACTTTGTGGGTGTGTGCCTGTGCAAATACACTGTACCTAGGCATACACTCACAAGTACACATAAGCTGTATTTTCAATGCATAGTAAGAACTTCCACAGGCAAGTAGCTGAGCCTTTTCAGATTTTAAATTGAGCCATAATTTAAACAAAACACTTACCCTAAAATCTCAGTTATTTTGTTAAAGCTGTTTGAACCCCAAACCATGAGGAAACACACACTCAAGCACATGTTTGTACAGTCCTTCCTTTGTAAAGTGAACCTTTTTAGACGGACAACACCTTTGGTACTATTAGGTTTTCTGTTCTCGTTACTACAGTAAAGCAGTGTACCTATAGATGTATGTGACATATACACATATGAACCAAACCTACAGATAAAAGAAAGAACAAATCACTACTGATAAAATGGCTACGGCTGTCAATCTGTAGATCTGTTTCATAAAGGATGCACAAGTCACATATGTACGTTTATCCGCAGAGATATACACAGGAAAGCACTGGGAGAAACTACATCCCCACACTGACGCCCAATGTGTGTTTTGTTTATACCAACCAGGTAATAATAATGCAGATTCATAAACTAGTGTTACATTTATTCAAATGTTAAATTGAATTACGTTGAAACATTTACATACCGATAGCAATTGAAGATTTTTTTTATGCCATGAGAAAGTTGTTCATACCCCATGAAGACAATTCCATTTCCACACATGCTATTCTATTGCAGCGAGATGACAGATAATGTACCCACAGCTTCAGAAAGCGCACATGTAACATAAATGCACGTAGATTCAAATATATGCATAAGGACACATGAATATAATGAAAGTGAATTATAACCTTTTACAGGGGAACGTGCCTAGGCTTTTATAGTAATGACTTTGTAAACTCCTCTGGGTTCTCGAATTGGAACAAAAAAAGTAATTATAAAAAATTCCGTATGACCCAAAAAATTATGTAGTTTGGGAGAAATCTGTTATTAAACAATCTGCTGGCTACTGAAAGACTAGCTAACTTAGACTTGGTCCTCTCTCATCTCTGACATCATTGAATAATCTTCTCATTTAGTATATCTATTAGTAATTTCTTACCTCCTGCCTGCTTTGTCTTGTAATTTCAACATGTCCAGTTAGACAATCTCTTGTTCCCCCACTCATTTTTCCCCCATTTTCTTTCCTCCCCCATGTTAACCTACTGCAATCATGGCATCCTCCTCGTTAGAGAGAGTGGGACGGTTCATCTCAGAGATATCTCCAGGAATGCCGTCAATGCCAGTCCTTGGTTGGCCTACCAGGTAGGGATTAAGCATTGAACTGAACCCAAAATCCAAATGGATTTAATCAAACCAAAGCCAATCAGAATTTTCTCCAGTTTGAATTGATCTTACTTCTGAATTTTTGAAGTCCAAAGAGAAGTCAAACACAAGGTTTCTGGATTTTGTGCAACTGCAACCATTCATTTGATTTTAAGAAACATTTTCCCCATTGTCTAGAGGGTTTGGGTGGTTCCCACATATCCCACTGTAATCCTAACTCTCAGATCAGATAGACCAGCAAGCAATTGCTTATCCTGAGTAATGGCTTGCATGTTGGACCAGATCAGAAAACTGGTCCTTTGCTTGCAAACGTGGAGTGCATGCATATATCTAGGCAGGTCTGATCTCCAGTGATATAATTAAAAGCTGTTTATGTAGATGTGGAAGCTAAAATTGTTGGCACCAGGAAGGATCTTCTTCACTCTATTACCCAGGGAACAGGTGAGCTACATGACCTCTGTGATCAACGGCTCAGGGTCTCAAGAACATGGAACTACATGAATGCACGAAAAATGCATATGAATGATTATGGATTTTATTTGGATTTAAAAAGAGCTTTAACGTGACTGTCATAATGCTTGCTTCCACTTCCTGTTCAGATGAAACAGGGAGGTCAGAAATATATTTAAATTAAGAGTGCAGACTATAGCTGGTCAAGTTACTTCCACTTGCAGTGCACTTGAGGGAAGGTGAAGATTGTAAGTCCCAAACTAGACAGCTCCCTTCATAAATGCTCTATCTGACATTTCAGTCCTACCAACACGATATTTGATGATGTCATAGAAGAAGCAAGAGCACTAACAGAAAGTAGTTTTATTTATGAAGATTTTGAGTTGCAAAATAAGGGCTTCTCCTAAACTACAGGTATAACTGCTCTAAATTTAGCAACTTTCATTTCAGAATATTTTGCTGCATACTGATTCATTTCACTTCTTATTACTTTGTATTATTTTTAACCTATTTTTTCATCATGGTATTATAATCATAATATAGTTTTATCATAATCAAATGTTGAAATGGCAGAATTTTGATTTAAAAGCATTAGATGTGGCTTTGATAACTAAGAGCGAGTGACTCTCCATCCCGTCTACTTCACAGTGATGAGTTCTCACCAATTTTTTTTAAAATTGGGACTATTCACCACAGCAAGAGAAGTGGAGAAAACAGTTCTTTTTTCTTAATTCAGTCCTTGAGACCATGCCATTCTGGACAATATCATTAGAAACTATATTGTAGGTGAGGGACCCTTGTGCCCACTGCATCAGTGCAAGGAAGCCCATCATGGATGTGTAGGCAATTAGGGAATTAATTAAAATTTTAAGTTATTTTAAAATAATAAAGATGTATGCATTGGCTTGGCTGAATAGCGTGTGAAGGCCTAGGGTTTAAGCATTTTTGGTACACAATTAATGCCAATGTCAGGAATAAATTCATACACACAGATTGTTCTGTCTTTCACCCAGTCTCTTTTCTGCCTGTATGTGTGTGAATGTAATGTAGGTATGTGTGTGTGTGTGTGTGCGTGCATGTGTGTGTGCGCGCACCTGCGAGCGTTTGGACCTCTCTTCGTTTCTCTCAGTTCTCACACTCACTATAGCAAATACTTTTACTGATACACGTGGTTTTTAGCTAGCTTTGCAGCCAACATCATTGATGAAAAAAAATTCAATTTTCCATTTTGAGAGCCTCAACAAAAAAAAACCGAAAACATTAAGATTAATGAATGGTGACTGCGGCGAAACCCTCTGTAGCCGTTTTGCAGAGAGAGAGAGAAAGAAAAAAAAACGCCTGCCACTCCCTTGAGCTTCATCAGCGCAATGCCTTCGTTTAGACAAATGATTTAAATTTGCCGAGGTGACGTGCGTGTGGTTTCAAATCGTGCAAATCTCCGGAGCAGCTGCTAGCTAAAAGCTTTCATTAATTAAGATGATTTTTCTCCCTTCATTCTCTTAATTAGATTTGTGGCTTGTGTTGCTGTAGCATTTCGTACATTAAAAAATATTTATTCGATTTTTTTTCATCTTTGATGTTGCAGGCTAGCCTGTACAGAGGAGGTTACAGTCGCTTCACCCCGTACTAGCAAGAGAAACTCAGAGACACACTAAAACCCAGCAGGGCTAGAAACGTCTTCTCAGAAACTGTGGGGGTTTCGGCACGACATGCAGTAATGTTTTGTGCTGACACTCTCTGGTTAACATGATATTTTTACCTCAGATGTTTTTTTTTGTGTTTATTACATGTTTTATCTGTGGTGACTGCAATTTTTTTTCTTGAGTTTTGCTCAGTATAATCTACTTTGGAAAATTTCTGATGTATAAACTTCAAAGAAAACAACAGGAAAAAATAGACTTGACAGCTATATTGTTTTCTTTTGAAAATTGGCATCCAACCAGAGAGCTCTTTGGTTTTAGGCCGATTTCTCTTTTTTTGCAATTTTTTTTAGTGACTCTATTAGATTTTCAGGATGTTTGATTTTAAAATCAGTTGAACGAACAAAATTCTGTATGAAATGGGATACACGGCTTTAAGGTGATAGTCAGAAAGCAAAACCTACACAGCATATTATTCCTCTTAGTCTAATCCCACTCTAGATTACTATTAGATTCCATGTCAGCACCAGACTTCCCACTTAACAGCTAGCCAGTGTGACAAACCTGACTTAAACTCACCACATGTGTGCCTGGTGGATTGAAGTGTCAACCAGAACTGTGATTGAAACATGCTGCTCATAACCATGATTGTGTGAAGTGAGCCTTTTAAAAGCCTTCTATGTTATTCATTTTTAAGTCTAGTTTGATTGATAGAGGAAGGAAACAGTTTATTCACGTAGACAGCCTTGGTCTAACAGTTTCAGTGCAATAGTAGTTGCTTAACATAAATCAAAAGATGAAATGCAATAGGGCTTTCTCACATAGTCATTGCCAATAAAGCAGAGCATGTCCAGTTGACATAGTGAAATTTTTATTCATGCCTCGTCTGTGGAGGCTTTGTGTAAACATTGCTCGCTGTTGCTAAAAGGGTTGGAGATAACGCCCAGCCCCCGAGCTGATATTGAATTGCACTGGTTTTCTATAGTTCAGCAAATTTCTTCTTGTCGTAAACGGTACCAAACTGGGTGGCCATGTTACAATGAACATATAACAATCTGGTTAAATGGACATCACTGAAGCATTCATTCAAGAAAAGATGTGGCAATAGGATATTTAAATCAGCTAGAATATAGATATTTTCTAAAAAAGGAGGTAACAGCACTTTCCTACCCAGCACTACTGCATCTTTCTACATTCCATTCCTCTTTTCCTCACTGTTTTGGGCTTAGCACAAACCTCATTTATTTAAACAAACTATTTATGTCTCCTAAGCTGTCACTTCATTAATTATCATCACATTTTCTTAGATCATTCTGTAGTTGTGACCAGCAGAACCTAAAAAATAGTCTGACCCCACCAATTGAAGATGGTTCAGTTACTGGCTAAAGGCATTCAACCTTAGATCTGAAGCAATTCTCCTGAAAAGAAATGTAAACTTATTTATTTGACCATTTAGTAAAGTTAATAGTTTTTAAAGGTGTTCCAATTATTCAGAAACTGTTCCTGACAAGTAATATAGTATTGCAGGACAATATATAACAAAATTATTCACATTTGCCAATTTTACAATTTTCTCCTGAGTCAACAGACAGGTATTTATTTGACACGAATCTTCAAAATCTGAAATTTCAGTCCTTCATTCACAACTTGCATTTATGCAAGTAGTATTGCCTGATTTACAGAAATTTGTTGTAACTACAATTTGTTAAATGGAAGTCATTTGCATGATAAGCACTTTATCACCTTAAGAAGAGGTTTCTGGCATCTCAGATAGGCATGTTTACTGAAGAGAACTGTCGAAAACATTCAAGGAAAAATTAACAGTTTATATTTTTCTTGGTGCAATTAGTATTGCAAGCGCAAGATTGTGTATAATTGTTAGAAAAATCATTATTCAAATTTGAGAAAGGCTAGCGAATAATGAAATGAAAGAAAAGTCTTTCCCATTTGGAATGTTATATCTGTTAGCCTTAAGTATTGTTTTTATATAACAAATGCAGCTCTGTGGGGTCTCCCTCAAGTACTGAATGCCCCAGCTTTTTCCAGTGCACATTTTTATATTTTTTTAAATCATCTATTGTCTCTGGGGAAGGTTCCTAATATGTGAATTGTGTACAGAGATTAGATTATTAAGTACAATATGAGATTGGGGCTGTGTGAATGAACCAAAAAATTGAAATCGCATTCTATTTTATTTCTGACATCTCTGAGGATTAACTGGAGCAGCATATATTCTGAATGTTGTGTAGGTTTCATAGTGAGATGAAAGGTGACATAATCAGAACTGAGGAGTTACCCTAAGAACTGTTGTGTTTTGCTTGCTTTACAGGTTTGTTTTATTGTTAATGTGGTTTATTTTAGCTTTGGTTTTCTTTTGTTTTCCTGTCAAAATATGTTCTGTTCATTACACTCCAAAACCATTGCAATATGGTGTATTATAGGTCAACCTGACTCAAGTATTTAAAACTGAGTATTTATTATGATTAGTAGCATATGACTGTCTTCGTATACGTAGATTAAAATGAGTAGGAACAGACTTAGAAAATTGTATTCATCCTTTTATACACTTTCAATATGTGCACATAAGTATTCCATGGATCATTTTTATATTGCAAAAAGAGAAAAAATAGCTTTAAAAAGGCACTGTTTATACTTTTTGGGGTAAAGAAATAGCTAACATCTTTATAAATGTTTACTTATGAAATATCATGTGAATTGTGTGCTGTAGAAAATATATTACAATATGTGTTAGCTGTAAATTCCACTGGATAGAATTAAAGTGGGGTTAATACTCGGGGAAACAATCAACAGAATTTTGAATTACCTTCTTAAAATACTCTCTTGACAAATTTATTCCACACATAGGATCAACTCTTCTGATTCTAGGCTGTATTAGTATTATTATGGTAACATTTTACTGTAATTGCTTTGTCTTTAAGAATTTATTTCTAGCTGTGACTGCAAACGTACTATCATTCCTTGGAGCCTATTGTCTTCACGAGATTTTGCTTCCTTTGACAGAAACCCAGCTGAACTTATCTGGTCTTGCTTGCACTTGTGGTTTTTATGTTTCACCCAGTATATTCGTATATGCTTTTGAGAGTCTCACTAGTCACATGTTATATGGACATATTCAAATATGGTGTTCAGAGTTAACTCTTCATTGCTGTTTTTATTTATTTATTTTTCCATGTTTGAGTTAGTGGGGATAACTTTGACAAGCAAGCAATATTGGAACTGCTAAACCTATTCTAGAATAGGAAAGACAAGCCATGAGTATAGCAAGCAGTCAAGTCAACGTTGTCCATTTTCCTCTACCATCCAAAGTCAAATTAAGTCTTACATTTATGACATTTATGCCCTAACTTTCCCTATTACTGTGCACGCCTGTAAATATGTGCACATGTTGATGCATTCTAACTCTATGATTATCCTTTGTACACTGCACAATGTTATTTGAATATATATTTGTTTTACATGCGGACAGGGCACACTAGCCCAATGTTCGTGACCATACCAGAGTTTGACCATGGGAGGAATGGACGGATGGTTACATTCACGAGGTAAGTGTCCATTCCTCTCGATATGTTTCACAAAAGTGCACACACCCCTGAGTTGTTTTGTGTGCAGGAACCCCAAAAGAACCACATAAAATGCCCAGTAAACTCAGCATAGGTGCTGTGTGAGGAAGTCCTACATATAATGATTAACACGACAGGAGAAATATCTTCTGCAGTTTTCCCAGTCGGCTTTCTAGCAACCTGTTGTCAATCACAACTAGTGATGTACTACCAATGTGTGATGTCAGTATCTAAGTGAAAAGTTGGCAAGTTTTTTTTGTTCTTCGCATTTTTGATCATAGATTCTATGATTGACAATTGTCTTGGACAGAAATATTCCCTGTAATATTGTTATCAATATGGCAATACACAGGACTTGATTCATGTTCTAAACCATTAAACATTAACTATATTCAGAACACTGGAGAATTTTTTATCACCAAAAATAATCATTTTCTCATCACAATGACCTACTAGCAAACAACCCACAAAAAAAATCACATTAATAGTTTTTAAATGGTAGACCATTACAAATAAAATGGGTCGTAATTCTATGTGAATAGATTATGTAAATAGATCAGCTTGAGTGACGGACCAGAGTCAGTTGTGGACAAACTTATCCAATCAGCCTTGTTGACAGAAATATCTATCATACTAAATGCCTGACTGTTGGCATATTCTGTATCTGAGAAAGACGTAGGTCATCATAACTTTGGAATGGTATTTGTATTTCAACACAATAAAACAATTAAATGATTAGCTCACTGCACTCATTACCATGACGTAATAGAAATCATGAAAGATTGCTAAAACGAAACTTTTATGTTTTGGCCGATTATCTCTATTCATGTCGTAAGATTGTCCAGCAAGGGCTAATGAGACATGAGTAACATTTTCCCCAACCTTCACAATTTTTTTTTGCTGAATTACCAGGTCATTACAATGCTAAAAATGTTCTTTTTGAGCCCTTCACATAGATGGTGATCTGTCATTGTACAATGTAAAGTTACTGTCATGTGTGTGTCACAGCAGCACACAGAAAAGTTCTTGTCTGCACAACACCGAAAGAAGAAAAAACATCCTACTGTGTGATTTAATTTGTCAAGTACACAAAATTTATCTTTCAGAAGCACTAAAAATAGCAAAAGATGACAAAATTGACTGAGAAAGGTAACTGAAATTTCTGTTGCATTTCTTGTTTCTCCCTTTCTCAATCTGGTACAAAAATAGTTTTTATCAGGAGCAGATTTGTACAGAAGTTCATCATTGTTGTTGTTAGAGTTAACTAATGTAATAATAACGTAGGGTCCATAATATTAACCTTACCTTGCTGGCTTTCCATTTACATCTTCAAGCTATTTTAAAAGATTGACTGTATATGCATTTCCTATAAATATGTTGAGATTAGTGTTTGCTTTAAACACTTTCTTGCTAAGCACTTTGATAAACTACAGCCACATCTCTTTGCTGCAAATGTTCAAAGACAACTGCAATGAAAAGGGGTTACAAAATATTCTTCTAAACATTTGCAATCTGCAACTTATAAAGTGTCTTTAATTTGTCCTTAATAGCTAGCACTCCCGTTTCAGGGCTTAATTACCTGCTGTCCTTCTAATATGTAAACCATTAAATCTACACAACTGTCTATATACAAATCAACAGTTGTAATGTCCTGGCTTTATTTATATTATTAAAAATAATATAGAATATCTCTCTATATGGAGGACAATGTATTGTAGTGTGCTAAAACAATATCTGTTTATGTGTGGGACTATGGTTCAAATAAATCCCAGGCAGTGGTGAGAGGACTAAAATGTTCTTTTGTTTAATGGTAGCTGGGGGGTACAGTAAGTTGGCTCTAGGACCTGATACAAAATATGGCCAGACATAGCTTTTCGGAATATGAACATCAGTGAGTTTGGTCAATTTCTAAGTAACTTCCAATTATCTTAACTCAAGAAAAGCACAGTTAGTTCTTAATCAGCAATTTCTTTCAAAAAGGATATATGACTTAGGTTGAGATGCACCAAAGGTGAAATGCAAATGGAGTGCAACTCTGCATCTGACTTAAATTTAGTCATAACTTGAAACTGTTCAGTAAGATTGCTGAGTACAAAAGGAGAGAAAAATACTTTTGCTTTCCTGTCCCTCATGCGGAATAAAATGTTCACATACACCGTGCTTGAAACATTGCTATATATTCAGAATGAATTATTAATCCATTCATGTTACTTAGAGGATAAATTGCTATTTCAAATTTAGTAAAGATTTATTGGTTAATAAATTTATCAGAATTATCTCCAAGCCAAACTGTGCAAGTTCTTTCCTTCATCTTATATTCTAGTGACTCTGGCATGACACAGGTGCACTGTACTAAATGAAGGGCTCAGAAGCTGAAATCTACGGATTCTGGGAATATAGAACCTTGTGCCACACCTTCAGCAAACAAGATGTGGAACGTACGCAAGTACTGCCATATGGAAAAGAATTGTACGTTGTATACCATGTGTACGCTCAAACTCCTCCTTTTTATAATTCCACTTGTATATAGCCCTTTAGCTGCCACCCTTGTGCAATAGATTATAACACACCCTGATCTTCCATCTTATTGAAACCAGTGAGAATGTCCTGGGGCAGTAACACAGCTATCGCCCAGTTAAGTGCATTTTTGTTATGCACTAAATCATTCTTGTTGTTTTCAATGGGAGTAAGAGGAATTGACAGCTCTCAACATAAAATAGTGGCAAACAAAAAATTAAGCAAAAGAAATGTAAACATTTCAAAAATAAGACTCTCTTTTTTAGGACTTTCAGCGTCCTAGAATGGAAACAGGTTGTGTTGTATAAGATTTTAAAACAGCCTGACGTTTCAGGACTCCAGAGGCCCTCATTGCTCCCCTTCCCATCCCTGGATTCTGTGGTATCCTTTTGAACTGCAGAACTGTACAGCCCTTGATGTTATGATGCTGCCTTGGTCTAGGGTATGCTATTATGATGCTGAGTTAGTAATGTCCTAGTTTCAGACCTAGGACCTTTCGCATCTCAAAAGTTTGAATAGTGCCCTCTTGGCCTAAGTATTCCTAGCTCTGCCTGGCCTTTAGCGATTCAGACTCCAAACTCCACAAAACTGTCACTTTTCCAAGCCAAACTGTCTGCAATTCCATCTCAATCTTAAAGACTATTTTGTTCAACCCTTGTCTCCTCACACTCTCTCAGTCCTGGAACTGCATGTTGTTTAATATCCTGTTAGTACCTCATGTGCTTTTAACTGTCTATATGCCGTTGGTTCCTAATTTCTTGCTCTCTGCTGCTGCTCTGGTAGATACCTGCTGATTAGAGAGCTGTAGTTTAGACCTCTGCCTTCTGTTTTCTGTCATTCTGTAAGCTTCTAATGTGATTCAATTAACAATAATCCTTAATAAAGATTGTTTCTTTCTTCGACAAAAATAATTGTTCTGAATATTTTATAAGATAGCACTATTGGACTGGGAATAATGTTAGATCATGTAATCAAATGGCAATATATTTATAGCAAAACACAAGACATTTAGGAAAAAAATTGTCACATGTATCAAAGCTACTAACATATCAATATACATCGTGATCATGATCCTGTACAAAATTTCAATATCTGCATAACAATAATTTTCAAGCAAAGTAAAACATACAACAGTATCCTTAAGATTTCTAAAGTAATTTGAAGATGTAAAGGAATTACAGTTTCAAACAACAATAAACAGAAGATACACTCTTTCCAAAAATTAGTTGTGTTCATAATAAGAAACTGGGGTAAATGAGTTGAGAAAGAGAAACAGGAATGGACAAAGTCATTGGGAGTTATTGATGGTAGTTGAAGAGGAATCCAACACCAGCTCCACATTAAGTGTATCTATCAGTTATAGATTTTGGAGGGAAGCTTATTCTAGTAATAGACAAAAACAACTTGAAAGAATAGAAACGATCACCAAATTAGTAACACAAAGAAAATCTTCTAATCGCTACTACAATTGTCTTACAGCATGTGAATGGACATTAGTTAGTAGGAATGATCATTTAAAATGTTGTGGAAAGCCAATTATGGATGATATGCATCATTACAAAAGAAAAGAGCAGCTACAGTCTATCTGTAAGACTAAGAAATACAGGGGTGAATCAATACCCAGACCTCTTCCAATTCTCCAGTCCTGTAGTCTATTAAAAATTTATTCAATGTTTATTTTCTCAAGAAAAGATCATTAATTTCTACTTCTACAAAATTAGATATTTGTAATGGAACAGTTGAGATGATGTGTAATCAATCTTTGGAATAACATACACTGTAATGTGATATGAACCTTTCCCTAAAGGGAAGAAGGAAGAACTCACCATTACAGTATTTAGTTTCTCATTTCTTTGAGCTTTTAAGAAAAGATTGATATCTGCAATGTTACCTAAACTGAGTGTTAATGATTTCTGAGTATGACGCATCACTGAGTAAGCCAGTGAGGTAATGAACAATGATGGGAATAAAAACTTTTGTTTTTCAAAATTTGAATTGCTTTATTATAAAGAATTAGCTATGATATTTTTGAAATTACTGGGAAGAGGATTACATTGACAAATAAATAATACTGCAGATTCATTTTCTCTAAATGACTTAATGTTTCAGTCAGGCATAATGATTGGAAATTCTAAACTTATGACTCAAGCCTAATGAATAAAATTCCAAAGCCAAATCTCAAACATCAAGACAAAATACATGATCATGTGAAATGATTGTTCTGATGCCATATGGCTCTAGCAAGTCTCTCTTTCGTCATCTTCAGTAACTTGTGCGTTTGGAGAGTATTCAAACATGAAATCACCATTTGAGGAATCGATTCAGCTCAGTTCAAGTATCATTATATAAAGGGGGAGAAATTAAAACACTGTTGGGGACCACTGGTCTCGGGAGTACTATTTTTTAAGCTATTCAGCATCCTAAGGTACAGAATTGGAATTAAGATGCATAAACACATTTCAGATAAGATAATATGCAGGATGCCAACTTAGTGAAGGGTTTGTGGGCACGCACCTAACAACTGCCTGTAGCATGAAGAGCAGACAGAATATGACTTTAACCAGTGTGCAACTTGAACATGACACTACTGATGCTATGTTCAAACAGCACACTGCAGAAAATGCTCTCTCTTAACCACACACACTTGAGTATGACGTTAAATGGAATACAGAACTTCTCCACCAGTGGTTTTTCAAAGAAACACAAACTACTGGAAGGTTAGTTGCTGAATTATTTCTACTGCTGCTGACATAATTGTATATATTTTTGGATGTTTCCTACACTACACTAAAGTTTAAGAAATATACAGAGTGGTGCTGACATACTTGTATTTTCATTTCTCATCTCATTCAAACATACAGAATTCCTACACAACTTGACAGAAGATAATGAGGAAAGGATGGTTCCACTGGCTATGGGGATTAGAGCCAGGGAACACAGTCTCAGTATAAGAGGCAGAATAAGAATAAGAGGCATTTAGGACTGAGATTAAGAACTCTTCACTCAGAGGATAGTAAATCTTTGGAAATGACTACTCGAGAGGATTGTGGAGGCTTAGTCTTTGAGTATGCTTAAGGCAGGGATGGGTAGATACCATGTATTAAATACATCAAAGGATATGGGTATTGTGCAGGAAAAAGGCACTGAAGTAGAAGATCAGCCATGATCCCATTGAGTGGCATTGTAGTTTTCAAAGGCTGAATAGTCTATTCCTGTTCCTATTTTATTATTTTCTTATTTAATACCTCGTGCTGAATTCAGTTGTTTCCAGGGATGGGTACCCTGATAGAGCTTACACTGGAAAGTGAGTAGGTTTGAGAGAATGAAGAGAAGCCAAGGTCAAAAATCACACAACACCAGGTAATATTCGAACAGGTTTAATTGAAGACACAAGCTTTTGGAGTCTTACTCTCTCTTCATGTGTAATTGAGAGAGGTGACATCAGGCACAGAATTTATAAGCAAACGATCAAAGGGTCATAGAACTGATGCGTTAAAGACTCCAAGTTGATACACAGGCAGATTCTAAACAAGGGTCCACACCTAAAATGTATTGTCTGACCTGGAATGTCACCACTGGTATACTGAGGGAACTGATAAAATCTTTAGTTATCTCAGGGCAGTGACTTGAAAGAAATTAAGGAATTTGCATATTAATCCTTTCTAACTGTTTAAAGATTTAGCAGCCATCTTAGGTTTGTTCAACACTGCATCAGTTCTATGACCCTTTGATCTTTTCCTTATAAATTCTGTGTCTTATGTCACCTCTGTCACTGACACCTGAAGGAGTGAGACTCCTAAAGCTTGTGTCTTCAAATAAACCTGTTGGACTATAACCTGGTGTCGTGTGATTTTTGACCTTGTCCACCCCAGTCCCAGCACCTCCACATCACGAAGAGAAGCCACACAGAGTCGACTAACTGCTAGTTGATGAAATGGAGGAGTATCCTCAATAAAATGCCGTATTCGTTGCAGAACTTCAGAGAGCAATTCACTTAGCTCAATGTCAGTGAGGGCTAGTGCATGAGATATTTTTGCCCATTCACATTTTCAGTCACTGCTCAAGTTTTACAGCCACAATACGGGTTTCAAAAACTCCTACAACTTGTTGCAGCTGCAATGCATCTTCCCTTTAAGAAGATACTTGAAGTAGCTTCATAATATCTGATCCTTCTGCTGCTGTGTGCAACTAATGAAGATGTAGGAAGCACTGGCTACACATCTCATTCATTTAGTACGGCAGGCAACACCAATCTGAAATGCTGCCTGTGCCACAATGAATGACATGATTTAATCACAGATTTACAAGCATGTTGCAGGGTTGGAGGGCTGGAGCTATAGGGAAAGGCTGAATAGCCTGGGGCTATTTTCCCTGGAGTGCTGGAGGCTGAGGGGTGACCTTATAGAGGTTTGTAAAATCATGAAGGTCATGATAGGGTAAATATGCAAGTCTTTTCCCCAGGGTGGGGGATTCTAAAACTAGAGGGCATAGGTTTAAGGTAAGAGGAGAAAGATATAAAAGAGGCCTAAGAGGTAACTTTTGCATGCAGAGGGTGGTGCGTACATGAAATGAGCTGCCAGAGGAAGTGGTGGAGGCTGGTATGATTACAACATTTAAAAGACATCTCAATGGGTAAATGAATAAGAAAGGTTTAGAAGGATATGGGCTAAATGCTGACTAATGGGATTAGATTTATATAGGATAGCTGGTCAGCATGGATAAGTTGGACCAAAGGGTCTGTTTCCATGTTGTATATATCTCTATGACTCTATGACATGCCATGATCCTTATGCCTTTACAGTTTAACCTCTGGGAGTAATTGGATTGCACCTAAATCAGGACTCACACTCTGGGCTGCACATGTTTAATGAGATCAGTTAGCTCAAAGCGTTGGCAAATTGATCCATTAGCCTAGTTATTACTGTACCAGTGAACTGCAGGCAAGTGTCACAGCACTAGAAAAGTTGATCCATCAGAATTTTGGTGCAGCAAGATAAATCACCTCAGACCCAGGTCTCACGGCAACACAGTAGGTAGGATGGGAATTGGCGATAAGAACCCTACACCATTAAAGTTTTTGGGAGACAGCTTTGACCTTCTGGTTCAGCTTTTACCGGTGCACATGTGTGATGCATGCCACAGTCATTCACAGACCAATTTCACAAAAGGTCATTTACAACGAATGGGCCAACAGCAGTTTCACAAATACATCCAGACCTCTATTGTGCAATCCAATCCAATATGATGGGCAAGGCAGCATATTTTCGATGTGGAAACTACCAAGTTTGAGCCTTGTGTGCCTCAATATGCCCGTGAGCTAGGCATAACACTATGTGTGTCGACATATGGAATGGAAGGAAAGGTAAAGCTTTGTCTATAATTTTAGGTCAACAAGCAAGAGATCCATGTGGCTCACCAGACTATAGGTCAATTTTGTCTTAATTCATTGCATAACTCAATATTCAAATAGCAATATTTAGAAATCATACAGACGCATTTCAAAAATGATCTGCAGTGAAATATCTCATGTCAAACATATTTTAAGAAAGTTCGATTGGTAAGTGCAGGTAAGCAGGTAAGCTTGTCATTTGCATTTGAGATGACATTTTTTTATTAAATGCTAGCCTGCCCATCCTACAAATATCAACCTTCTTACTGATGGTCAGTTTCAAGTGAACTTCATTATATGCTATCATATTGAAGTGAATGTTTGAAAAATGTTAAAACGATTTACGATCTAATGGAAATGAAGAAAGATTCCATTAAAACAGCTTGCATTATCTGACTCCCTTTAGCCTAGTTCATGGATAATGT